CAGAAGAGCCTTTAGCGGGAAGGAACTGACTTGGGTCTCAGAGGCCCCTGGAGGATGGATTCGTGCCGTCTCTTCAGCTCCCAGGAACCACCACTGCCTGGCAGGTTCCTTCGCATCGCTACCCATAAGGTTGGGTGGTTAGGGATGATGACAGCATTCTCATACCTGTTGTTCTGGAGGAAGGGAGCCCGCCTAGGGGTCTCGGTCCTGCCACTGACAGCTTGGGGACCTGGGGGGCTAGAGAGATGTTTCTCGTGGTGGCACTCCAGACAGCACATATATTCACAGCTATTGTCTACGAATGGCAAGCTATATACTTTTCATGCCGGCTCCTTGATGAACATATTTATTTGCATAAAGAGATTTAAATAAAATATTAAACAGAGTCTGAATCACATGCAGATACGGTGAAGATAATACGGACATTCTTGTGGGGAATGTCTGGGCAGCATAGAGAGGAGACTGCCAGGTTCCTTGTCCCCCAAGTGGGCCGTACCCCACTTGCCTAGTCAGCTTCCCAGAGCAAGCATGGGGCTCTGGCAGTGTGGGAAGGGGCACATGCTAACCAATGAGAGGGCCTTGTGTTTTAGCCAGTGGCAGGTTAGCTAAGGCCGAGGTCAGTGTGAGACCTAGTCAGTCAGCTAGGGCTCCAGACTACCATGTGGGGCTCGCTCCTACACCAGGAGGGCACCAAAGGCTATGCAGCTCCAAATACAGAACACAGCATGTGCTGAGGTGGGCCTCAGCCAGCCAAAGTTGGATGCGCAGATCATGTTTAAAATGAAACCGAGACCGAGCAATGCTGGGAGAAGGGCTGATAGCTGAGCTGAGCAGTGTGTGGAGGCAAAGAACACAGTGAAGGCCACTGAGGGCCGTTCTCAGGAGAGAGGCCCATGATGTTCCCCAGGACGTGATTGTTACAGGCTCTGCCTTCGGTGGTGGAAGGTTCAGTTACACACGTGGACTTCAAAGGGAGGTGGCTGTTAGGCCCATTCCTATTTAAACTCGTCAGGACCACTCAGACCCTCCACCTGACCCCTGAGAGCAAGGAAGATAAAACTGTCCTGAGAAAAAATGTGAGGCTCAGGGACTAGAGGAGGCCAGAGGAGTCCAGCAGCTTCTAGTCTTGAGACCCTGATGTAGAGATGTTCACTTCCGGCTCTGTCTGAGCTGGCCCCAGTCCTGCACTCCCACCCAGAGGGCTTTCTCTTCAAGGTCCCACGCTCTGGGCGAGGACAGCAGCTTGGCCTCTGGCTTTTCCTCTGGGGGTGACATCATCCCCTTGGGGTTGGTGGGAAAGGCGGTCATGCTGGCTCCCCTCTCGGTCAATACCCTGGGGATGCTCCCGCTCCCGCTGTCCCGGCCTCTGGGTTTCCCGCAGGTCGGCTTCCTTCTTCCATTCTCGCTCACAACTGCCTCCTCCTGCTTCTGCACAGCACCTGCCTGTGGCTGGGCTGAGGTCAGCGTGCGGGTGGGCAAGAGGATGCCGGGGCTTCCTCTTCCTTTCTCTCACCTTCCTCTGCATGGGGCAGGACAAGAGAAGTGTTTCCCTTTGATTGTAACGGATGTAATGAGCGGAGCCCTGTCATTATTGTCTTAATTTTTGGCGAGGAAAACATTCTGAAAATACACAGGCAGCCTTAACAGCTAGCATTCACCCAGTGATTTCTTTCTGCTGTGGAGAGATACATTACCATCCAATCTGCATATACTTGTATGAGATAGAAGCTGTCCTTCCCATGTTGAACAATGCAGAAATTGAAAGACAATTTAATGTGCCCAACTTGCACAGCTACTTCATGGCAGAGTTGGGATTTGAACTCTGTTCCTTCTATTTCCAGAATCCAAGTTTTTAATGTACTTTTAATATGGGTGCAATTGCAGCTCTTGTTTACTTAAATGGGGCCTCTGTTTCATGGACAGCCCTGAATTCATACATGCCCACACATTTATTCTCCTTGGAAAACTTGTGCAAAATGTCAGCATTGTGTCTTATGGATTTTTCCATACCGGATAAAATTGAATGGGGTCATTTCATTCCTCCCACTGCTCTGACCCAGGCTGTGTTTTGCCTTCTGGAAGGAAGCCTGCCAGCCCAGCCTCCTTGCTACTTGGTCAAATGAAACTTTGGGAAATGGTCTCTCTGTCTGTCTGTCTGTCTGTCTGTCTCTCTCCTCACTCTCTGTCTCTGTCTCTCTCCCCCACCTCTCTCTGATTAGCAAGTAACTGAACGTAGTAGCAAGAAGTTTGAATGGATGATGCAGGGGGGTGCCAGTAGGACTCAGTATAGGGGTATATAGCACGTGCCAGGTGCTAGCGAGGTTCTGGGGTGACATGGTGATGTACAGCCCTCATTCTCTGGTCTGTAGTGGTGCTTGACAAATACTGCCTGAGCAGTAGGACATGTATTTGTTGCTTTTTAAAATTACTACTATAGGGGCCAGGGAGATGGCTCAGTGGAATAAACATTTGCCTGGCAAGCACAAGGGCCTGAGTTCAATCCCCGGTTCTGGGGAAAATATAATTACTACTGTAGGGCCAGGGAGATAGCTCAGTAGAATAAATGCTTGCCTGGTAAGCACAAGGTCCTGAGTTCAATACCCGGTACTGAAAAAAAAAAAATGTTACTATATTTTGGTACTAGGCCCTAACCATAGCATGACAAGTGCACAGGCGATAGAGACACACCCAGAATCGAACACCCTGTCTTGGGTCTGGATTGCAGAGTTAAATCACTTAGATTTGAGTCTCTGGAGAGCCACTGACTAAGGCAAATAGAAATGTTTTGGGAAAACTGGTCAGGCACTGGGACGGGACGGCGAGGCGCAGCACATGGGGGTGGGGGGACTTCAAGGTGGCATGTGATGAAGTTGGACAGGAAAGGGATGGTTAATGAAGAAGCCAAAAATGTCTCTGAGGTTCCAGGCAGGTGTGACAGGAAAGTGGACTAGGGCAGAGGGAACAATAGGTAGGCCAGGGAGACAGTTTACCCAGAATGCACAGAGCTTGGTCTGGGGCTCAGAGCCTTGCTGGAGCTGCCTTGGGTCTCATCAGCTGCGGCGGAGTGCTTCTGAAAGGAAGGGTCCAGAAGGCAGAAGCAAAGAGGTCAGAGCCAGGGCCATCAAGAGCAGATATAGTCACCCCTGGGCTCTGTTTCTTGTTGCTGCTGCCACCACTGACCTAACTCATGTACTTGCCCCAGCACTTCCGAGGGCTGTCAGAGCTTCGGGCCACCATGTCCTCCCCATCTCGGGAAGGCACACACCAGTGGGCAATCTTCACACCCACAGAAGCCTCCCTGCCCTCAGTGACATTAGTCCTCCACTGTCCTTTTGAGTTGCTGGCTCCCTGCGACCTATCTAGGATGCCCCTCCCTGCACGGGCCAGGGTTGGCAGGGGAAGACTGAATGCAGAAGCCTGAGCCGGTGCGCTGCCAGGGCAGCCCAGGCCTGCCAGCTACCTTTCCCGCCTGCCCTCCGTGCTCAGCTCTGAGCATTAAGACAGGAGGTAAAATGATCCTCTGGGTCTCTGGGGGGCTTAAGAAACAGATGGTCCCCGCACATGAAGCTTGCTGTGAGTAACTCGATCAGGGTCTGGGGAGGGAGCTGGCAGGGCCAAGGCAGCTTGGGCCCAGTGAGGGTGAACCCTGTGAATGTTATCAGCAGAGCCTCCCCTCCCCAGCCTCCAAATGTGGCCTTCACCCAAGTCAATCTCACAGCCCCTTCCAGATGGCACCCGCGACTGTCCTCAGAAACCCGAAAAAAGTCTGGAAGATCTGGCCCCAGGATCCCCTCTTGCGTGGCCAGGGCAGCAGAGCCAGTCTGGCTAAGAAGGCAGCAGGAGGGCTGGAGCCAAGTCTGAGGGCTACACAAAGGGCAGGTGCTCGGGAGGGAGAGAGGCTGGGGCGAGCTGGGCAAGGGTTTCCAGCAGGTGGGGGATTTCCTGGCCTCATTTCCCTGCTGGCCAGTCAGATGTAAAGAGCAACTAAAGGAAACCCTGGTCAGCCCTTTCAAGCCCTCTCTATTGCCCTGCAGAGGACACTGGGACAAAAAATAGTAGCCTGAAAGCCCAGCCACGTGCAGATCACGTTTGGCACGCAGACCGCGTTTGGCGGTTAGGGCTACAGAATTGGCGGTGAGTCAGTCTTGCATTTTAGTCCCAACTCTTATGAACTGTGTGGCTGAGTTATTTCATTCCTACCACAGATTCTTTACTGGTTAAACTGAGAACAGTGATAGCAACCTCAAAAGAGCTTATATAAAAGATTAAATTATGTAGTTAGAATAATTTATGTCATGTAGCAAATGCTCACAAATCATTATTACCACCATCATCACCATCATCCATCAGAGAGAAAGAGGGTCCAGACACCAGACAGCTTACGCTTGCCACCATCATTTTGGGTCCTTCAAACTGGTCTCAACTGGGGGATTAAATTTATATTATATACTATAAATGGTACAGCGAGTGTCATGCGCACGAGCGCGCGCACACACACACAAGGTCCCTGACATGGACTTTGTACTTACCCATGATATGAAAGTGTACCCCTTTTCTTTTTCATGCATGTGCTACCTTACATGAACTATTCAACAGCTTTATATCAAATAGGCTTTATGTTGGGTGGTTTTGCCTACCTACAGGTTAATGTAAATGTTCTGAGCACATGTGAGTTAGGCTAGGCTAAGCTGTGATGCCCGGTAGGTTAGGTGTATTAAATAAATTTTCGGTTTATGGTATTTTCGGTCTACAATGGGTTTACCTGGTCATAATCCCACTATAAGAGGAGCAGCATGTGTATGGCCTTTAGGACAGCATCTTCCTTCGTTAGCTTGTTGGTATTAATGCAGTTTCCCTTATTTAGCATTAGCAGCATTAAAATCTCTCTCAGCGCAGAACTGCACTGACTGGGCTGCAAGAGATGGGTGGCGAGTCTTGGCTCAGGGCCACGAGGAGCAAACCTGCAGCTCACTGGCCTCTGCTTTCTCTCTCCCCTTCAGATATCTATGAAGGAAGTGGGTGATGGCTTACAGGATCAGATGAACTGCATGATGGGGGCGCTGCAAGAACTGAAGCTCCTACAGGTCCAGACGGCCTTGGAACAGCTGGACATCTCTGGAGGGGGTCCTGTACCAGGCTGCCCTGAAAGCCCCCGGACACAGCCCAAGTGGCCTCATGGGGAAGGTGGCAGAGATGTGGCCAGGCCTGGGGGCTGCACCTCCCCTGCCAGCCGTCCTGCTCTCGGCGGCAGCACCAAATTTACAGGCCACGGGGGTGTCTGTGGGAGGGATCCCAGCCCCCTGCCCAGGACACAGCTGCCGGAGCACCAAAGCTGCACTCAGCGCGGGCCCGAGTGGGGGGAGCCAGACGACTGGACCTCCACGCTGATGTCGCGAGGCCGCAATCGGCAGCCGCTGGTGTTAGGGGACAATGTTTTTGCGGACCTGGTGGGCAACTGGCTAGACCTGCCAGAACTGGAGAAGGGTGGGGAGAAGGGCGAGACTGGGGGGGCGGGTGAGCCCAAGGCGGGGAAAAGCCAGCCCCGAGAGCTGGGCCGAAGGTTTGCTCTCACTGCAAATATCTTTAGGAAATTCTTGCGCAGTGTGAGGCCTGACCGCGACAGGCTGCTGAAGGAGAAGCCAGGCTGGGTGACGCCCATGGCCTCAGAGTCCCGGGCTGGACGCTCCCAGAAGGTCAAAAAGTGGAGCCATTCCAAGGGCTCTGGACGGTGCCCCTTCCCAAGTGCAGGGGAGTCCAGACAGGGGGAAAACCCCCACACAAGTAGCCCTAAGGCCATGGAGCCCTCACCCTCGGGCTTTGATATTAACACAGCTGTCTGGGTCTGAATCCCAGAGGGAAAGCTGACTGAACCCAAAAGACCAGTCCCTATGCTGGGCCCCTGGGGAGGAGGGGGGCGGGTGTTCGACTGTCAGAGCCCAAATCCAAGTTCCTTTCCTTCAGAATGGAGGGAGAAGCCAGAGTTCGGGGGCACAGATGACTGGAAAGCAGTTGGGAGAGGCTGTGGGAGAAGGGACGGCTCCTGGAGAAAAAAAAATGACTGTGTGTCCTGCTCATATGGGGGTTGCAGGTGACAGCAGGGAGGAACAGGGGAGAGCAAGACGTCTTCCTGACATTCCTCCACTGCCCTCAACGCCTTCAAGTGAACACTGCGTGTGGGAAAGGGCACTGGAGCCCCCAATAAAGACCCATTTCTGGTGCCCCCAACCTTAGCGCTTCCGCTTCCCAGGCAAAGCGCTGCTGCAGCAGGCAGAGACGGAAGCCCAGCTCCCAAGGTCGGAGCAGCCAGGGGAAATCCCCACCCCCAGCCTTCCCTGTTCCCCTAGACTTCAGCCCCTGTAGGGTCCTGGGGCGAGCTGAATAAGGAGGGCAGCACATGATGGGTAGCGGGGAGGCTGGGACATGCCTCCCTGTCCTCTGTGGGGTACAGGCATACTGCACTGTGCACATTCAAAAACCTCTTACCTCCCTGTGTTCCTGTAAATGGGCAAAGGGAGGCAGGCAGCATCACCTATGTCACCTGTCCCAGAACACAGCGCTGGCGGGCGGAGTGTGGGGGAGGCAGGCGCCGGAGGGGTGCACGCAGGAGCCTGGAGTTAGACACACCGCCCCTACTCCAGCAGCCAGAAAACCTCTGCCCAACGCCCTACCCAGTCTCTTGCGCCTAACCCCGTCCTAGGGCAGAAGATGGAAATTCACCAGCAGGGTAAAGGCAAGCCCTCTAATCCCTAGTTCCATTGTTCAGCCCTAGGCGAAGCCCTGGCCTCCTTCAAACTTGGAGTCAGTAGGGTCCAGCTATAACGCTCCCAAATGCGCAGCTCCCAAACGCGCAGCCGGTACTCCTAAGGAAGCTGGAGGAGCCTGAGCTCGGAGACCAGCCAGCGGGCTTAGGCCCCACCCGGCCAGGCCCCTTGGGCAGGCAACTCGCCTCAGGGTTGTGCCTTGCCCCTCCCTCTCCCACCCGCTGCCTGATGGGGGGGGTGTGTGACAGCTGCAATTAGAGTCTTGATGCCTTCCCTCCTTACAGCATTGAGAGCAAACAGAAAAGGGAAAAAACAAGGAAGACTGCCGCCTGCAGCCCAGACTGCCAGGGGTGGAGATTAGATTAGAGGGGCATTAGAGGTCCAGTTGGCGTGGGGGAAGAAAAGCACCGTTTCTGAGCATTCACTATCTGACAGGCAACGTGGACGGCTCTTTCAAACTTGGGATGGGCTGGGGAGATAGCTCAGTAGAATAAGCGCTTGCCTGGCAAGCACAAGGTCCTGAGTTCAATCTCTGGAACTGCAAATAACCCCCCAAAACAGAAACGAAACAAAAAAACTTGTAATGAGCCTGGAGGGTACTGTATCCCAGGTACACTAAGGAAGGCAGGGGTCATGCAAGCTGCCCGGAGCAGGAGCAGACGCAGGCAGCTGGCACACAAAAGAGCTGAGGTTTGAGTCGGACGGTTACCCAGCTCCCAAAGCCCTGCCCTTCCCTACTTCTCTGCTTCGAGTTTGCCAAATATGAACATGCTTTCTGGAGGTGCCCATGCTGTGTCTCCCCAGAGAACCCTGGCAGTTCAGGCTCTGGCATGGGGAGTCAGCTGTGGCTGCCTTTGCTTGTGGCAGTGATGTGTCTGTGAGCATAATGTGACGAATCCTCGCAGCTCTGCGGGTGTGTGTGTGTGGGGAGGGGACACCAGGCAAATTCTTCAAGATAACACCAGCATTGAGTCTAGGATGACTCCAGAGGAAACAGCCACCTGCAACTCACCTGTTTCATGGACTCGTTGGGCAGTAAACAAGTTTATCGGTAGCCCCCAGTGCCTGGCCTTCTGAGCAGAACTAAGAACAGTGTAATGAAAAGGACCCACCTCCTGACCTCAAGAGGATCCAATAACGAAACTTCATTACCTTTCACTTGGAAAGAATCCAACAAAGTGAAGACTCACTGTAACTCGGGCCGAAACAGTGTAGAAGTTACATTTGCTGCCAACATAGGTGCCAGGAACCTTGTCACATCGGTGTTCTTCCATCCTTCTCACTACACCCCAGAAGCGGTTGCCCTCCTATTTAACATGGAGAAGCCCAGCGGAGGTACAGAACATGTCCAGGGCCACCTAACGGCAGAGCTGGGGTGAAACATCCCACTGGCTTCCAATCTTGCATTCCACCGTACCCTACAAACAGTCCACTTAGCTGCCCAGAGTCAAATCAAGAATGCAACCTGCCTTCCCCATAGGATCCACCCAAATGGGTAGCACCTGGCATGCTGTCAGGTGCTCAATCAGCCTCGACAGGGCTGATGCCATGCCCCAACCAGCATGCCAAGCTTTGTTAAAGATTCTGGTGATTCATCTATCCTCCTATACTTTTAACTTTTCTGCCCCCTTGCGGGCTTCTCCTTCAACAATGGTGGAGGCCATTTATTTTGCTGAAGCTGAGTGCAGAGGTAAATGGGAAAACTTAGGGCCTAAGGATGAGAGAACAGGCAGCGGTTTTTATAGGGAGATGGTGGACATGCATGCGTGCAGAGAAACTGGCAGCTTCCTTCTGCCTCTGGGGCTCATTTCATGGTTAATTAGGACATGCAAATGAACTGGAAGCTCATTTAATACCTCCAGGCCTGCAGCTCCACCCCAAACCTGGCCCACTTCCCTGGCAGGTAGAGGGGGACCCTGATTGGTCCGAGTGTCTGCTCAGGGCTCCACTTGCTTCTTTATGGCCCCATGGCCAGAGTCTGTAGATGTTCCCAGCCCCAGCAGAAAACGGGGAAGAGTCCCTGCTGGACACATTTGGTCTGTCTGGTGTCCTGTTCTTCTTTTTCAACAACCTTTTATATCTGAAACCTCTCCCCACCACACACACTTCCCCTGCACCCTACCTCTCAGGGGGATCTCTGAAATCAAACCCGTCCTGCGGGACACAAGCCTGGTTAAGCTCTGTCTGCCCCACTGGATCCTTGCCTGCTCCCCAGAGCCCTGGGGAGTCTTTCCCACATTACACCACTTCCTGGGCTCCTAGAGAAAAGCAAGGGTCCAGCCTATCTGGGAAGCAGGGGCTGTCTCTAGCTTCTCCTGGACAGAGCTCCCCACCCAGGGCAGTTAGGGAACTTCTCCCCATCTTTTGGTATGAGCATTGGACATGGAGTCAGAAATGAGATCCATTTCTGGCATTGTGTGAACTCCACTGTGCTGGCTGCTGGGAGGTTTCGAGGACACAGTGCACCCAGGAGTAGGTACACTGCCTAGGGTAGGCAAGCTCCATGGACCCTACTTCCTGCTCCAGCACTCACCATGAGACCCAAGGCACACTGCTAAAAATAAAGTGCATTCTCTATGTTTGTTCTCTTCTTCTGTTGAAAAAAAAAAGTCTACTCATTACCTCATAGGATTGTGGCAAGGATTAGAGAAAATCACAGCTGTGAATATGCTGTGTAGTGCACACAGTGAGCGTTATGTGCCAGATGTGTTCAGACTGGAAGGATGGTATACATGGGTGGGGACAGAGAAGGGCAGTGGCCTTGGTGGAGCTGGAATAGGTGCATGAGGACCCCCGCTGCTAAGGATCTGCGTTAGGAGATCCTACCACCCCTGCACACCAGGTCTCCTCCATGTCACCTCGGGGCACTAACCTGTCTCCCATCTGCTCCGAAGGCCACTGGGTCTACAGCCCCTGCCAAGGCACAGCTCTCCATTCCTCCCAGCCCCTGGGGGCCAATGGCTTTCTCAAATCCATTCCCTCCTCTGTGAGGGGTCTTTGGGGCTCAGGCTGGGAATGCCTGGTGAGAGGTGATGGGCTACAAACACCTGAGGACAAGACTACTCATCATTCACCACAAGGACTGTTGTCAGGATGATACTTGCTTCTCCCTGTCCAAGTCCTAAACAGGACCTCCAGTTGGAAGATTTCCTTCTGAGAGGAGTACTTTCTGCCCCTATGTGTCACTCTCCCCTTCAATCAGCCTTAGAAGGGCTCCATCCACCTCCAACCGCCTGCTGGAATTCCCTTTTCAGCCTTCCTCTCCTCAGCCCTTCCTCGTGGAGGCTGTGGAAGTGTTGACAGGGTCTACCAGAACAAATAGGGGTGCAGGGTCTGTCGGAGCTCCTGTGACTCCTCCTCACTGTTGTCTGCTCCAGGCAAGAGGCTTGGCCCTGCCCAATTAGACCTATCCTGGATACTCCTCATCGGCTTTATCTGGAAGTAGTTACTGGGAGTGCTGCAAGCTCGCGTCTACTCACACCATGTATTTCTCATGTACTTGCTATTCCCCGAGGAATGTGTCCCACTACCTCACGCTGGCCTGCACTCAGCCTTCGCTGTGCAGTCGGCAGGCTACTTAGTTGTAAAGCCTTTCCCCGGGGCCTCATCCACAGCTCCGCCACAACCTTGCTTTGTAAGTCACTTCTGTGTACTCCGCCCTTCCTTTCCTGACCGAGAACTTCCAGGGTGGTACCTGCTCACTCCTGCCTTACAGGGCTCCCGGTGTGATCCCACTCTTCACAACAAGCCCTGGACTGAGTCCTCTTCTGGCATTCCTGCTTTACAGAAGGCCAACAGCCAAGGCTTCCACAGCTGCCTCCATTCCACCAAGACAGGGAAGCTGCAGTCCAAGTCAAGAGAGCAGGAAACTTCTCCAGCCCAGACCCCCTCTCCAAGGTACTGGGCCCTCTGTGCTGCTCCTAAGGCCAATTCTACTTAACACACGCTATATGGGGAGCACTCGCCCTGACCTTCAGTTGATCATAGCCACCTCTCCCCAATGCCTGCCCAGGCCTAAGTACATCTTCGCTGTCATTCTAAGGTTATCACCCTTACCTCAGCCCGCAAGCTTTCTCCCTTTCTACCAGGGATCATCTCTCATATACCTGGCTCATTTCCTTATCCTTTTTGGTAACATTTGGTCTCACTTACCTACCCTGGCACTCCTCTGCACTTGCTCCCTGGGGCCCTCCGCCCCTCCTGGGGACACTGAGTCTGCTAGACCCTCTTCCCTGCATTGTGACTGCTGGAGGACAGGGCAGGGCAGGGGGAAGGAAGTGGAGAGGTGGGTGCTGAGCGCCTTCCCTACCTCCAGCCCCACTGCTGGCCGTGCTCCAGACATTGTCTCCCTCCTGGGACTGAACTGCCAGCAAGGGAGAGCGTGTGGGGCCATCTGTACACTTGGTGGGGAACGAGGAGGCATCAGGCTTTGGGCTAAGTGCAACAAGGAAAACCCTTGCACCGACACAGCTCCCTGACCACAGCTGCCGAAGCTGCTAGCAGCCCAAAGCCTTCACACACAACTTCCACATTGAAATCTGGCCTAGGGACTGGTGCTGGGCCAGACTGACTGACGCAGGTGTTGTAGTCCCTGGGCATCTGTCCAGATAAAGGCAATCCCTATTCCAGAAAATAAAGGACTAGTTTTCTGTCAGCGATTCCAAGGGCCCACACAATTCTAAAGCTTCTGATGAGGGTTAGGGAGTATAGGAAGCCAATACTTTAAACTTTATTAAGTGTATCGTTCCACGTGGGGCTGGCTAGTAGTATAACTCAATGGTGCAGCACTGGTCTAATGTGGACAAGGACCTGGGGTTCAACCCCAGCCGGCCCAAAACATAAAACACAAACCAGAGGCAACAGTACCTGCCAATGAGCACAGCAGCCTGGGAAGCCAAAGTAGAACTGCAAGTTCAAGACCAGCCAGGACAAGTGAGTGACTGTCTCAAAAATAAAAAGGGCTGGAGATGCAGCTCAGTGTGAAGTCCTTGGTTCAACATTTAACACTGAACGAGTACATGAATAAAATGTTTCCCCTCTCCATGGAAGACAGGTGGAGAGAACTAATTCCCGGGCCCACTATTCATGTCCTATTCTTCCAAACTGGGAGGCTGAATGCTTAGCAGTCCCATAATCCTGGGGGTTCCTTCAACCACCAACCCATCCAACGGGGACAGAGACATCAGGGATGCTTAGAACATACTTAACCATGGGGCTCGCAACTAAGTATGGCTTATGCCCTTCCTCTAGCACACAAGGGACAGGGGCAGGTGGGAAGTATGAGTGGATGAGTAAAGAACCTCTCAGGAAGCAGTCCTCACACAGCAGAAAGGTGCATGCACAGGAAGGGCTCGAGGGGCCGTGAGGAACAGAGATCTGCAGCGTGGCAGTGTGACACCTGGATGCCAGGTACTGTGACTGGTAAAGCAGGGAGAAAGAGAAAGAAAACGTTTTTCTCTCTTAGCACCTTTGCCTCCGGACTGTCAGGGATCCCCTTCTAAAGTGAACACTAATCCAACTGATCTCAGTCCTGGGCCTCCAAGAGCATCTTTATTAGAGAAAGAGTGGCACTGAAGAGAAAAACGAAGAGTAGGATAAGTGGGTGAGTTCACGTGAGTAACCCTTTTATCCTGAGTTCTGAAACTTCTGTGCCTGTCCTCACCTGGCCCGTGCCCTAGTTATTTACCGATTTCTCGCTCCTAGGTTACTAGCTTCTTGCTTCAAGGCTTGCCACACTCTGGACCTAATCTACTCCAGGCTAGTTTGTCCACATAGCCAACACCAGTCAAAACCAGGTAACTTCTTGTTCATGTCTGTCTTGTACCTTCCCTTTTCCCGAAATCTGCCTATATTACTTTCTACTCTAACCTATAGAAAATTCAACCATTCCTAAAAGGCCTTGGTCAAAGGATCCTCTCTGGAGTAGCTCAAATCTCCTAGAATAGAAATCACTTTTCTTCTGTTTCATACTACTCTATGCTTACAACTTTTGCCCCCACCCGAGCAGGTGTCTCCTCACTTTGTGGGGCAAGCTGAACAAGTGCTCCTCCTGTCTCGGCATTTCAAGAAGCTGGGACTATAGGTTTAAAACTTCTCAACGCTTCATAAAGTTGTGAACTACAAGTTCCTGCATGCATACACTATCTCCCACCCCATATTAGGGGCCGCTTACTTTACTCAATTTGCCTCCTCAGTGGACCATTCATGTTTACTAGGTAGTCAGTGACATCTGAGGCTCCCCAGTTTCTTCCCTGTACTAGTCCCTACCATACCACAGTCCATGAAAGTCTCCTGTGACCCCTGTATCCCTTCTTTGGTGGTATGGTACTAGGGACTAAACCCAGGGCCTTTGTACCAAGTTACATCTCCAAACCTTTTCTGACAGGGTCTCAGCAAGCTGCCCAGGCTGGGCTCCAATTTCCTATCCTCCTGCCTCTGCCTCCCAAGAAGCTGGGGTTACAGGAGTATGCCAACACATGGCATGCTTTTCTAATTCCTCCACAGCAGTACAGTAGCGCAGAGATCTCTATTTACACTCAGCCCTGCCCATCCTGCCTAGTCTCACCTCAAACTTGAAAGTATTAATGCGAATAAATCTCTAGTTCAGAGCTTCTCTTGAATTTGACTCAAGTTCAACTGCCTACTGTAAATCTACGATACCACCATCAACATTGTGAAAACAATTCTCTGTTACCCTTTCCACCAGCTCCTCTCATAAGCTGCTTGATCTTGACTATTGGTCTCAAAATCTTGGAGCCAGTTCTTACCAATCTCCATTACACGTGCGTGTCACTAAATCCTGCTGGCTCTACCCACATCCAAAGCATATCTGAATATAAACTCTTCCCTGCTCCACCATTTTTCACTTGACTAAGCTTTCTGCGTGGCCTCTGCCTCCATGCATGCCCCTATGTAGGCCCGTACACTCCAAACGCTTATTCAAAGCTCATTTCACCCACTATTACGTCATCTCTTTGCCAAGCACTCTGACCCTCTACACTGAGCACCTCTTGTTCACAGCACTCGTTCATCATTAAACACACACGCAGGCACGTGCGCACACACAGGTCTTTTACCATTTTCTAAAGATTAAAACTCCACAACACAAAGGATCTGGTCTGTATCATTCACCACTGTATCCCCTGCATGGTGTGTGGTACACACAGCACGAGAAGTTGCTTCCTGCAGGCCCATAAGGTCATGCCCATGCATGCAGCAAAGGCCCTAAAATATTTTCTTAAGAAACTGGACATAGTTAAGCTTTTAAAAAAAGAATCATTAGACATAACATTTAAAGTAAAAGTCATACTACTGTTTAGAATAGAAAGGTTTATTAATGTTTTCCTCAAGAGGAACAGCTACCCTCTAACTCAGCAGCGATTGATGAGAAGTATGTCGCACTCTGGGCCCAGAACCACAGGCGGCTACTTCTGTGAGCCCAATAAACTTGCACTTCCAAATACCCCAAACAGAATCCATGCTGCCCTCTGAGAAAACGACATTAGGTATTCAGTTAAAGCCTCCAGCCATTCTCAACAAAAATATTTAAACAAAACAGTGGACTGCACATTGAGCAAACCCAAGATGAAATAGTAGTAAGAAAAATCCACGTCGATAGAATATCTGTACTACATTCTTAAGAATGACTTTTCATTTTTGCTTCTGGAGAACATGAATGCCAACAGCCGGGCGGGGAGACTGCCTCAAAGCTCACATTCACTTCCCTACCCGAGATGTTCTCTTCCCAGTTCCTGGACAAGCACCCAAACCACTGTGGCTCCTTAAGTTTGGAGCTGCTTCAAGTTGCACTATTTTGGTACATATTTAGCACCTTCAACAAGTGTGAAGACCCAAGCAAAACAGAAAGCTACCAAAGAGAAAAAGCTACCTTAGAAATTATTTTTTCCTTGCAAATTACCTGGTAATTTCTTCACATTTTGGTCTCAACAGACATACAATTCATCAGAGCACGTTTTACACTTTCTAACATCCTACCAGAACTGGGTAGAAAGGGACATGACAAATTCTTAATTCATTTCTGTACCTTACTTAAAAACAAAACTCAAGACATGAACGGACTAGTATATGTGTACCGGTAAGGATAAAGGGTAAAATGTACTATATTGTTCAGGTACAAAAAATGTATTTTATTAGAGAGAAATGTAGAGAAAAATATGTAGAGGAAAATAACTACAAATCATCTGCTTTAAAGCTGGTAACAAAAATAAGTCAGCATTTCCCCTAATATTAACTTTTCCAAGGAAATAATAACTTGAAAGAGGAGGACTGTTGCACTGAGAGGTACAAGTGGCCGCTAATGACAGCAGACCAAGGTGCTGGAGAGGGGAGCTCAGGCCACAAGAGGGGATGAACGCCCCAACCCCCACGCTTCTCCAGACGTTCTTAGGAAGCTATGGAAGTGGCCCAGTTTAGGGAGTTCGTGTCACCTGAATCCTGGATGAATTCTGTCTGTGTATCTTCTCTTTCCAGTTAGACTGTAAACTCCTCTTGAGGAAGAAGAGCCCTGATGCCTCTTTGTGAAGAATGCAGCGCACACAGAGGAGGTCAGCTTGCATACTTACGATGCAGGGCCTGCAGAAGTGTTCGTGATCCTCAGGCTCCCCCTGGTGAGGGGCAGGATCAGGTATTTACTGTTCCAATTTAAGAAGCTGGGTTGGGGGCGCTAACAAGTCATTATAGTAGCTTGTGTATTAGTTGGCAACAAAGCAAGCTACCAGTTGTGGCATCAAGCCTCCTTTAAGTTACGCGTTATGCACACAACCCAGGGCAAATATGCCTTAAAGAGCCACGGATACCACAATGGTTTCAGTTTCTAGACAGTTTGAGATTCACATATCTAGAGACTTCGTTTTTCAGCTATCAACGCACACCTTGTTGTCAGACACCTGTTCCACTGAAACAAGACTAAGGAGCTCACACAGTATAATATCCACCCATCGCATTTTCTAATGGGCCACATTTTCGCTGATTCCAGCTGGTCCTGCTCTGCATACCACTTTTACGTAGCAAAAAGATCTTTTTCTTCATAGTTTCTCCTTTAACCCAACTGAGACGTGTAAGATATGACAAAGGAATCTAGTAACAATCTCCACTGCATTCTAAAATAGAAGACACTGAGATTGTGCTACTAGTCAAGCAGACTGAAACTTGTGAAGATTTCTATTGTAGCAAATAACTACAAAATCTATATAAAAAGGGTTTTTAAAAAAATTTATTTATATTAGGGATTGAACTTGAGACCCTGCACTTGCAAGGCAGGTGCTAATGCTGCTGAGCTATCTCCCCAGCCCAAAAGGTAGTATTTAGAAACTGGTGCTGGTTTGTGAGATGTCTGTCTACGATTTTTAAGTCTAAAGAATCTTTGAGAGGTATTTCAAACATAATGACCTTAGAGGATATCAAAGTACAGTATAGCACGGTATGCCCCTAAGCCAAGTACAGTGGCATGTGCCTAGAGTTCCTAGCTACTCAGGGATGTTGAGGCAGAAGTACTGCTTCAGCCCAGGAGTTTGAAATCAGCCTGGGCAACATAGCAAGACTTCACTCTAAGAAAAGGAAAAAAGGCCTCTCTGATCCAGACAAACTGGCTCTAAGATTTCACTTATTTTTCAAACTTATATTCCTTTGTCCCTTAAATCACAGACGTATACATAACTAGATCAAAAGAAGGGAAGTTTTAGGTAACTAAGTTTATTAGAAATTCAAAATAATACAATTTCCAATTTTAAAACAATATTTTAAACATTTTCTCAGTCGGCCAGAGCTTCTATTTGAAAGCTGACTTTTAAGCTGCAATCTGAAAACTGACGGGCTGACCACACGAATACTACTTCACACTAGTCGCATGAGACAGTATCTAGATCCCTGAGCACTGATTTAGACTTTCTAGGACTGGTCTCCTCCTTGGTATTTGGGGACAAGGCACAGGGTTTCCTAAGCAAGTTTCTTTTCTTCTCTTGCACATAACTGGCTAACAAGCTGACTGCTCTCTCTCTCTCTTTATGGGGAACACCTAAGTAGTATCATCCCAGGCCCACATCCTACTTAACCCCTTCTTTTGTAGAAACAGAAGTAACTGGGAAGGAAAAGCAAAGCACCACTATATAGCCAGCTAAAAGATTAACTTGTTTTTCTTAAAAATATTACTAGTACTACACTCGTTTATATCTAGTTCTTGGAGAGAAAGTTACTAACATCGCTTTTATGTGTTTTTAACTTTCACTGCCTTCTGTCAAATTCTTCAAACCATTATAAAGCAAGTTTAGAAATTTCCACATAACTTCATTTGTGGA